CTCCTTAAAATATGTACTAAACAGGACTACTGCCTATGACTTCTGCTAACGGAGATACACAGAAGAAACCCCATCCCCAGCAGCATATGCTTCTAGAGCTCCTTACATAATATCTTCATTAAAATGCCAGTCACAGGGTTTTGCAAAGAGCCAGGTCAGACTGTGATCAGCTTTTTGAGCCATGTTCACTTTTGGACTTTTTGCCTGAGAAATTCCACAGGTTCACATGCTTGATTATGCAATTATTTTATTGAATTCATTAAAAAAGTCCCTCCATGCTCAGTTTACAGCCCTAAAGCTGATATTCCTCATAATTTATACTCTAGTAGTAAAAGGTTTAGAAACAGAAATCTAGATTTTTCTCTTAAAAATGTTGGTAATGAAAATTCTCTGATATTTTGTGTTTTGCTTTGGGAAGACCAGCAGAGGGTGCCTGAGTTAGAGAGCAAACCCTGTCCCAGATTTGTGCTGGAATTGTTAACAATTTGAGTGTAAAAATAGAAATAAACTTTAATTTAGTTCTCTATTAAAACCAAAGAGGAATACATCAATGAAAGCGAAGGGAAACTAATTGCTGTAGGAAAACTGCACTATTAAGAGACTGCCAAAAAAGTGGTACTAATCATTAAGAAAAAATATAATAATTTGGGGATTAGAAAAGGAATTTTAGTTATCTGATTCTGTCATTGGCTAACAGCTACTAAAGGACTGGTTCCCTGAAGTATCTTTTCATGGCTTTTGGGAGACATTCCCTCCAGAAGCCACTCCGTAAGCTACCTCTTTGGAAGGAGATGGAGGAAGAGAAAATCTTTCAGTGCAGAATTCAGAGCAGGTTCCTAATTTATGTTCCCTGCCCACCCCCATGGTGGAATTTGTTTCTGCTGACTATATAGCAGGTACTCAGGGAGACGAAGCTCTGCAGAATCAGCCTTTTGGACATCACCTTCTTTTCCTCTTCCTGTCCCTCACTTAAGGTTAAGTGTTGCAAGAGAGAAAGTTTTCACTAATTCCCTGCGTGAGTAGTCTCTTCAATACTAGTGCAATGAGAGAGCCCACACAGAAAGCAGGCTTTCTACATGCATCACAACAGATTTAAAAGGAATATATATTGTTTTAGATATCTATATATGTACTTGGAAAATTCCAAACATGAAAAAGGGGACACAAATATTTCCATTGCCTTTGGTGACCTTGTAACCCAGCCCAGGATGATAGATGCAGAAGAGGGATCAAAGAACCAGAATGTAGATATCAATGATAATGTCTTCCTCTTCTTCACCATTATGAGAGGTCTGTTCCATATCAAGAAAGTGAGAAAGCTTTTTTTAAAGAAAAACATTAAATTCTTGCTTTTCCCTCACTTATCCAGGTATGATATATTCCTATGATACAGTATGTTTAGGTATGTTCTAGCCTTTACCTATAGCTATTCCTCTGAGGAAAAGTCCTTCATATATTTGTATCTTGACTTCTAATATTCCATTTGAATAATCATGAAGAATTACATAGTACTAATGTCACACAGGCAAAATGGCATTATCATCAAATGTTTTGTTCAGTGCATCTGAACATGTTCTGTATTTCTGTTATTTATATAAACACACGTGATTTAGTCATACCCTTTAACGTAAACTAAAGAAAGTGTGTTATGAAAAAGAAATGGATAATATGACTTAGGGACACTGGGTTACATCACCGTCCCATCAGAGTAAACAAATCTTATCTTCATATAAATAGCCCATCTCCTGCAGAAAAGGTTAGAGTTTTTCTGGATTTCTCTTATATTATTTCTTCAAGTAGAAATGCTTTCTATGTCAATAAACAGGAAGTGAAGTCAAAGTAGTGTCATCTAGAGGAATGAGCTTAGCTCAGGCAGTCCTGAATAAAATTCACCCTTATGTGAAGGACACATCTGGAACACTTTAAGTCACATTCAAATATCCAGTTAGGTCAGTGAGGGAAACCTGATGTTCAGGAGCTCTTTGTCTGGAGGCAAACACTGTCCTTTAAAAAGTAACATGCCCCTTTTAAACGGTTACAGTTAATGCAGGTGTCAGTAAAAGCATGCTGAGCACTTTGCAAACAAATAGCGAAGCCAAGCAGTTTGTAATCTAATTGAAGTCATGGATGTGAAATTTGGAAGAAGGGCAAGGCCAAGTCTAGCTGCAGGTAGCTGGGATCACTGCAGTGTTTTACAGCTTCAAACACAAGTGTCACACTGGGTAGAGGGTAGAAAATGGCTCTCACTTCTTATATTGAGGAGATCTTTCGGAGGGGATGACACAAAAAGTCACTGACCAACAACCAGAAGTCATCTACTTCTGTGTCTGAAGATGCTTCCTATATTTGTCCTGAATAATAATTGTCTTGCCACTGTGTATTTTTATATTACTATTTTGTATTTTTCTGTGATGTTCTGTTGTTATCAGATGTTTTCCTAGGTATATTTTTTTCGGAGGGAGAAAACTGCGAGGTGTAGGAAAGAATGATTTACTCACAGTTACGCCACTTTAACTTAGGGTTTGCTTAACTAAACAGTTGCAAATACTTGAGTAACCATCTTTGCTATGTCTTTGCTAGTCAGTAAAACATTCTGTGGACTTTCTGAGACCAACTGGCCTGACCTGTCATGTCTGTAGCTGATGCCCCTCAGACATAGCCCACATTCCTTGGGAGAGTGTGTGTAGGCAAAGCCATACCATGGAGCATGGTAACAGTTTAAAAGTATGGATGATCAGGTGCCAGTGTACGACTCCGTGCCTTGGCCCTGGTTGAATTACTGGTATAGATGTAGCTTACTCTGGCAAAAAAGGTGTTTTCTCTGGTTTACCTTCTATGGCTTTGTAACAGGCTATACTAAACTGTAATGCAGTGGCCAGGAAAGCAGTATCAACAGCTTTATTTACTGTTTCAGAAATGGATAGAAGACACAGTAGTTCAACTTGCCCTAACTAGAACTAGACTTCAAGTTTTAAATTGGTGGGAGCTCACACACAAAACCTTGACTAAACAGACTGAAATTAAATGGATGTGAGGTGTAAGTAAAATTAAGCAGAGATCTGAAGGAAGAAAAGATGTAAATTATTTCCCTCAAGTCTCTAAGTGGCCTGAGTAAGAAGGCAGGCAGAAGGGGCTACGTGTGAAGAGACATGAAGATGGAACAACATGCTAAAAGCTTAAATGAGAGGAGATTAGCGTAGCTAGGAATGCAGAGGCTTAAGTGCACAAAAACTCAGACTTGAACACAGGAAGGCAATTCTGATGCAGAAAGTAGACAGCTTGTGTTCTTTGCTTGTAAAACTGCATTGACATAGGGACCAGCAGAACTGTACCTCAAATCAGTGTTGGACCAAAATGATTCCTACATTTAAGAGGCTCAAATGGATGTCCCTGACCTAGGATAAATTTTTAAGTTTTCAGTAAACATTATTACAAAAGAGATAACATTTTCTTAAATAATAACTTGCGGTTAAACCACATGAAAAATAAAAACTATAGAAAGAATGTATATATCCATTGTCTGACCAAACAGATTTATGTAAGAGGTATTTTTGGCACTCTTACATTTACGCCTGTCTTTGCCTGGATGTGTGTGTGTCTCCTCTTCTAGCAACACTAAACCATATGGCATAGGTAACATTCTGAAACAGATAGCTTGGACTCAAAACTGACCTTACTTCACTTGCACTTGTTTTATGATGGACACTACCTAAAATTTTGTTTTCCTAAACAAAGCCAAAGAGTGTTTCTCCTTAGAATAATGAGTACGTTTTGCTCACAGTGGAAGAAGAAATACAGGAAAAGGGAATATAGCGCTGCTCTACTTACTACTATTCATTTTAATGTTGTTATACCTGCATAAATAATTTAGTGAAGTAAGAGCATTTTTCAAATCTATGTTTTACACAGACACTGAAATAATCTCGGAAAGTTGCACTGGAGCTTTATTTACTCTAACATGGATCAAAGAAATGGCATCATAGTACTGTAGAAAATATTCACACGCATACTCTGGCAGTATTATTACCAGGGCTGCTATCAAATCATTTGAGGCCCACATGTGAACATTCAGAGAGGAAGCACTTCACCCATAAATCTGTGAAAACGTACTCATTTTGTAGAATCATAGAATCACAGAATAGTTTGGGTTGAAAGGGACCTTTAAAGATCATCCAGTCCCAAACCCCTGCCATGGGCAGGGACACCTTCCACCAGCCCAGGGTACTCAAAACCCTTCCAGGGAGGGGGCAGCCACAGCTTCTCTGGGCACCCTGGGCCAGAGCCTCACCCGCCGCACAGGGTAGAATTTCTTCCTTATATCCAATTTAAATCTACCCACTTTCTGTTTAAAAACATTGTTCCTTGTCCTATCACTAAAGGCCCTGGTAAAAAGTCCCTCCCCCCCTTTCCTGTCCCCCCTTTAAGCCCTGGGAGGCTGCTCGAAGGGCTCCCCGGAGCCTTCTCTTCTCCAGGCTGAACCCCCGCAACTCTCTCAGCCTGGCCTCATAAAGGAGGTTCTCCAGACCCCTGATTATTTTCATGGACTCATCTGGACTCGCTCCAAAGGGTCCATGTCTTTCCTGTGCCGGGGGCCCCAGAGCTGGATGCAGTGTTGCAGGTGGGGTCTCACCCATGCGGAGTAAAGGGGCAGAGTGTGAGCTGCAAGTACACGTTGCCTACTCGTGTCCAATTTTTCATTCACCAGTATCCCCAAGTCTTTCTCAGCAGGACAGCTCTCAACTCATTCGTCTCCCAGTTTCACTGTGCCATTGCACTTTTGCACAAGGTCTTCTCAATACTGCACAACTGGAGAAAAAAAAATACAGAAACGACAATCTAATCAATCATTTATTTCGGCCTTATTGCTTTGGAGACAGAAGGCAGCTTATCTTGCTTTTATTTACATGATGTGTGTCAATATAATTTGTGTAACTCTTAAGAATAAGGCATGTTGTCATGTTATGTGCTGAGTTTAATTGATCTGTTATCTGCTGCCACAGAGTCAACACAGAGAACCTCAGCAAGATTCACAGCAGGGTGTGGAGCAAGACTGTGACCTCCCACATTGGTAACTATTTCTCATGTTGTTTTCAGAGCCTTGTACTTCAGCTTTACATTGGCTCTTGCACTTCACAACTGCAGTTAAGTACTTCGTATAGATATCGGAGTATGTTTACTGAACTCCAAAGTGCTGTCTGCATAAATCACAGTACAAAGTACAGCACAACTGTCATCCCTTCTGATGATGTTCAAGTTGACTTTGGTTGACTTTTAAAAACTGCTAGCTGTAATGGCCTCTTCCGAAAAGGAAAATCGGCTTCTCAGGTGGAAACTAAGTTCAGGCATTAGGAGAAATATTTTTGGTTTTCTTTGGGAATTTAGATGTTGGTCAAATGTGAGAGCTTTGTTATGATGTGATCCTTCAAGAGATGTTTCACTTTGCTTTGGTACTTTGTCAAAACGTTCTTCTCTAAGTAGTTGCTAGCTCTGAAGCAACAAAAAGAGCTTCAAAATTCAAAGTTGTACTTCCAGAAATGAAAGTGAGAGCAATGCTGGCCATCAGGGTTAGACTGGAAGTGGCAACGCTGGACTCCCATTAATCTTTTACCAATTGCTTTGGGCTTGAGAAGAAATCTTACAGTCTGGCATGATTTGGATGGTTTACAGCAGCCATATGTAAAAGCTGCAGCCTGCAGTAGCTTTACTGTTTTTTAGCTGGTGGGGAAATCTTTTTAATAGACTCTGGTGTGTATAATTAAGATAAATTATTAAGTATATTTATCTGTCATTAAGACAATACTAATGAGATGAGCATATTTACTTTTTGTAAGTTGGGAAACAGCAAGAATGGATACTACCTTGTAAAGGACCTTGTAACTTTTTCCAATGCTCTCCTTCCCCACACTGAGTGTGCCTTCATGCACTGAGCAGGCACTTCATGCCTGTCTTTGTAATCCTGGAAATAGGCAGTAAAATCCCCACTGATGGCAAATATGCAGGTGTACAAGTTCACAAGAACTCTGTAACTGAACCTTTTTTTTTTTTTTTTTTTTTAACATGAAAAATCTACTGAGTTTTGTTGTAAAAGGGTTGAAGCACAGAGTTACAGGATAAATTTTCACTGCTCACAATCACAGGACGCTGGGACCTCGTGAGCTTCTTCTACGCATCCTTCCAGTGTCCAGCCTGAGCTGGTGTATATATATCATATATATACACAGAGAGGGGATATATATATATCCCCCTCTTTGGGGATAGCTAGGAAAATCCCCACTACGAATATACTGTTCAGGTGCAGTGTATGTCCTCTTCCAACTTTATACTGCCTATTCTGATGTGTTGTGGTGCAAAGCTTCACAATCATGTGTGCACCATCTGCGCTTAGCACGAGGAGGAAATAAGACCCAGAAATTTTTTTTAGCAGGGCTTATAAAGATCTGGAAGGGATGGACAGCTGAATTTTGCAATGAGAAAATGTGTTCTTCATGTCCTGATTTTCCACTGAAAAGTAAGGTAAATAAATTACTTGCTATTTATTTATATTATTTATGTTTTGTGTGGCATTAAGTTTCCATTACGCTATGCATTGCACTAAGACAAAATAGTTCTTAACTCAGTAAAACAGGAGAAAATGGAAATACAAAGACTATCTGTAACCATGACGTGTAACTGTGAAGTCTTCCTTCATAACCACCAAAGGCCTGTTTCTATTCTGAAGCACAACAACCATTTAATTAATGATTGGTTTAGACACCATTGAGGATTGGTGTTATCTACAGAAACAAAGTATGCTGGCAGTGTATTTTTGGTTTTCTGTCACCTTTCCCTTGTTATATGGATTAGGTTCTAACTGATTTGCTGAAAAATCAGGCAGAACCTAAAAGTTTAGAAGTAGACTGTTATAAATTGAGACTACAATGGGTCGTAATCCAATTAAAATTTTATTAATTATAGCAAGTAGAATATGAGCAAAAACAGCGCTGGACGACAGGGGAGTCCGTGCTCCACCAACTGCCGTACTGAGTAGAACAGACTGTCCCTTTTTATACATCCTGACTCCCGGGTTCATGGAGTGGTGGAGATACTATGTTCCAACTGTTGCTGGGGTTTAGAGTGGTGGAGATACTCTGCGCATGTGCCAACTGTTGCTGGGGGGTCGTCTCTCCCGGTGGATGCCGAGGCCGAAGCGAGGAGTCCTCCCCCCCCCGTCCTGCGGCCGACCCCCCCCTCACCCTCATGTCCTTATACGGAGTTGTTTTTCTTCTGTTATCCGACCTTTAAGTCTTAATAAACAATATACTTAGCTCATAGTTTCTTACAATCCCCCCATTTTCTTTTATCCTACTATTGTTTATTAGACGCTACTTTCATTCTTAGCACTGCAAGCAAGCCTTCTTCCACAATTCCAACATTTATCACAACATTCACAGGGTAGTATCTCACAATTACAATCATAGTTCTTACGTGGTATAACGCATTCACAACAATCTTCATCATCTAAGTCTTCATTAATAGATACACTTATATTTTACCTCAGACCTTAGAATAAGTAATTTAGCTATGTCAAACCGTTCTCTAATAAAGTGTAAAATATAGCGTGAGGTCTCTTACGCTTTTCTGGTGACCACTTTATTTCTAGATATTCGTCTCCATATGTGGACCACTCAGAGGCCCATGTTTCGCATCCCCAATAGCCACAGTAATAGTGACCTGGAAGGTTACAATAACCTCTTCCAGGATTGGACGCGGGACATATGTAGGTTGGTTTGCACAGATCAGCTTTGTCTTTACAGTGTCCAGTAATTAGATCGCGCAAACTCACATTAAAACTAAATGTACCCGGTGTAGCCCGTGCTTGAATTGGATTATTTGGATGTTGTATGTTTGTTATTGTCCAATTCGTAGGTTCATGAGGGTTTCCTCCTTTTGCCTGGGCTATTATCAGTAACAAGACTAACGGTATACCAGGAAAAAGGGTGTTTGTCACTTTTGCCAATTTAAGTATATTTTTACCAGTCCTGGGGAAGTTCGGCCATTGCTGCTTTTGCGTCCCATTGTTCTGATTCTTTTCTCCACGGTTTGTTCCTCCTCTGCCTCGCCCGTCGACTCGGTTGCTTCGAGTCACGGGGTGTACCATCTTCTCGGCAGCAAGGGAATTCTTCAGGAGAACAGCTGTTTCGGGCTTTCTGCCTGTTTATATAGGCTTCCCACTTTGCAGCTTTAACTAATGGGACAAAGCAAGACACAGTTAGTACTTCCCTTCTGCACTTTATAGCCAAGATTTCAGCTACAAAGTGGATCGGTTTGTCAGATTGGTACCGATAATATTGAGGGTTTATTTCTTTGGCAAAACTTTCCCACCACTCATGGGATTCCCCAGATAATTTCTTGTCTAATTTCTCACATTATGTCCACCATTTATCCTGGTATGCCTTGCACCTAAAACAAGCAAATGGGTAACAGTTACAGTTTAAATGATTACACCTAACTCGTATATTTAAAATGCATACATTACTTATATCAGTATATTTTCTATATTTTAACAATTTTCTCTACCCCACTTTGTGCATTTCCATATATAATAAATGAACAAGGAAATTATTATTGCAAGTAAAACCAGCAATATACACTTTATACCAAGAGGCAATGCGGCAAAATGCTCAAACAAAGTCTCTATCATTATCTCTTCAGGGTTATCTTGGTATCACCTGGAGTACTAATTACTTTCCATTGAGGTTTCGTCACGGGGCCTTTAATGCGACTGGCATGAGTCCATCCACGCTCAGCAGTCCGGACAGCTGTTTCTGTTGTTAGTAAAACAAGATAAGGTCCCTCCCAATTGGGTTTTAGGGTTTCTTCCTTCCATACTTTAACCAATATCCAATCCCCAGGTTTAACATTGTGAATTTTTAAGTCCAACGGGGGTCGTTGGACAATCAGTCCGTGTTCCCAAAGCTTATTACGATGTTCTGCTAATTGTGAAACATATTCATTAATCACATGGTCTCGAATTAAAACATTTGTTTGTGGATTTTCAATTCTATAGGACATTCCATACACCATTTCAAACGCTGATATTCCCACATCCACTCAGGGTCTGGTTCTGAGAATTAATAGTGCCATGGGTATGCACTTTATCCATGATAATTTGGTTTCTATCATTAATTTAGTCAAAATAGTTTTGATTTCTCCATTCATCCTTTCAACTTTTCCTGAACTTTGTGGATGCCATGGTGTATGGTATTCCCACTTAATACCCAAGCTTTCGGTTAGATCTCTAACAGTTTTTGACACAAAGTGTGTTCCTCTGTCCGAGTCGATTACTTCAGGCACTCCATATCGAGGTATAATGTGTTCAAGTAATACTTTAGTAACTTGGTTAGCAGTTGCCCTGGAGGTAGGAAAAGCCTCAACATAATGTGTTAAATGATCCACCATTACTAATAAATATTTGTAACGCCCTACCCTAGGTAGTTCAGTAAAATCCACTTGTATGTGTGAGAAAGGTCTGTATGCTGGGGAACGTCCTCCAAGAGGTTTTTGTCTCATGTTGTTTCGATTAACCTTTTGACAGGTCTCGCAGGCTGCCGTGACTGTCTTTGCTATGTTATATACGCCTATACAGGCAAACTGTTGATTGAAATGATCAATTAATGCCTGGGTTCCCCAGTGTGTTTTGCTGTGTATTTTTGAAAATATTTCGAGTGCTATGCCTTTTGGCAAGACTTCCCTCCCATCTGGCAATATGTATTTACCCTCTATTCTGCCAGTCTTCTAACTTTTCAATCTTCTTTCTGACATCCTCCCACAATTTTGCCACAAACTGAGTTTTGAGGAGTGCTTGCCCTAAAGGGTCGTCTGGATTTACCCCGGAGTACAGCTGAAGGACTTTCCTCAGTCGTTCCAGCCACTCAGTAGGGCTTTCATCTTTCTTTTGCATTTCATTAAATGCTTTATTGATATTCTGGCCACGGGGTACTGCTTCTCTAATCCCTTGAATTACTATAGTTCTTAAGTCCTGCATATGAGTTCTATGCACCGGATCCTGATTATCCCAATTAGGTCTTTAGAGTGGCCATTTAATATCTGCTTGAGGTCCCTGAGCATGTTGAGCATCCCACAATCTCATTCCTGCTCGTCTAATCATGTCTCTTTCCTCGGTATTAAATAATTGACAAGGATAGATTGCATTTCATCCCAAGTATAAAGGTTTGGTCCCAAAAATTGATCTAATCTTTCCGCCACTCCGAGTGGGTCCTCAATTAGGTTTCCCATCTTGGTTCTTTTAAAATCTCGTAGGTCTACCGAGCTTAGGGGTACAGAAATATATCCAATCACAGGTTGAGGTCCCCCCATGGGCATTTCCCTTAAAGGATACATCTGAGCTGCCCCTTTTTGACTTCTAGTCACGCGTCTAGGAGGAGGGGGAGACCCTTGTTCTGATTCTGGCGGGGGAGTGGGAGCTCTGGGGACCTCTGGAGGGGCTGGGGCTGCAGGAGCAGGCGGGGGAGCGTAAGGAGGGGGAGTTAGAAGAGTTTCATCTAACTCTTCCTTCTTTTTCTTTTGTTTAGTTTTTATTTCATTCAGCGGGTAAAGTCTAGCTCTCGGTTTCTCGAGCCACACTTCCGCATATTGACTCTCTTCTGGGTTAAGGGATTTTTTACTATTAACCCAGAGGTTTAATTGCTGTCTTACCCAATCTTCTTCTGACCCATAGACTGGCCAAAAGACATGTTTATAAATCTTCTTTCCTCCCCATAACTTAGTACAATATTCTATCATCTTCTGCTTATCTTTCCCTAGGGTTCCAGGGAAGTATTCCCAGTTGTCTAAGATGTATGCCAGAGGGGTATTCTTTGGTACAGTGGGTACCCTTCCCATGGGAGTCGAAGGCTTGCTGCCCTTCGCCCCCATCTTCTGAATTATCTCCAAACACACACTCACTTGCTCCCCTTGTTCCTGGCCCAGTCCCTCGCGGGAGATGGAAAACGCAGTACTTAAGGGTCCGCACTCGCTTGGTTCAGTATATCGAACCTCTCATTCGCTATAATTCAGGAAACCCAATCCCGCCCGAACGGTAAACCTGTGAATAAATCCGCAATATACTTACGCGTCCTGCGTCTTCGTCCGGACTCCTGTGCACAGAATTTTTATGGGATTTTACCATTTTTTCCTTTGCTCATTATTCTAGAATTTAGGTTCGTCAGTAAGGATAGGGTGGGCTATCAGTCGTGGGGCCGCGGATTGCCGCGGGGCGCCTCCCCGGAGGACAGAAGCCCACCGTTCCTTATCCGAGTCACGGCACCAAAATTGTTATAAATTGAGACTACAATGGGTTGTAATCCAATTAAAATTTTATTAATTATAGCAAGTAGAATATGAGCAAAAACAGCGCTGGACGACAGGGGAGTCCGTGCTCCACCAACTGCCATCCCGAGTAGAACAAACTGTCCCTTTTTATACATTTTGTCTCCCGCGTTCATGGAGTGGTGGAGATACTATGTTCCAACTGTTGCTGGGGTCTAGAGTGGTGGAGATACTCTGCGCATGTGCCAACTGTTGCTGGGGGGTCGTCTCTCCCGGTGGATGCCAAGGCCGAAGCGAGGAGTCCTCCCCCCCCCGTCCTGCGGCCGACCCCCCAGCAACAGTTGGAACATAGTATCTTCACCACTCCATGAACGCAGGAGACAAAATGTATAAAAACGGACAGTTTGTTCTACTCAGTACGGCAGTTGGTGGAGCACAGACTCCCCTGTCGTCCAGCGCTGTTTTTGCTCATATTCTACTTGCTATAATTAATAAAATTTTAATTGGATTACGACCCATTGTAGTCTCAATTTATAACATAGGCCATGGCTGTGTTTTGCCTTGGAAGGCTGTAATGAAAATTTTGTGTCAATTCAGGTGTTGATTAATGAATCCTTCAGTCACCAGTGGAGCTGGGACAGGCCAGGCAGCTGAGTGCAGTGAACATGGCCATCCCCTGCTAAGTGTTCTGACAGAACACAGCCTGTGAGATTTTGGTAACAGGCTGTGTGTCCCTTTCTGAACAACTGTGTGGCCTGTCCTGCGTAAGATCTGCATGCGTTTGTGTCAAGTGTCTGGAAAGGAGGCAGGAATTATTGCAGGTTCCCCTTTTATATCTGTACCTCCTGCTGTGAAAGGCTTTGAAACATGAAGGTAATAAGAACAGTTTTGTGCCTCTGCACATAGTAACTAGCAAAGCTATGGTGAAGAGCCGTTGATGGGAGCGATGGGATGCCCAGGAATGCCCCAGTCCCTGGGTTATTAGTACTTGTGGGTACCCAGCACTACTGATTTCAGAGACCAGGGTTTAACTCCAAGGTCTGAAACGCTGGCCAGAGCAGGTGTATGTGAAAATTAGGTTTGCCGTGGCAGCCGGCACAGCGGGAGGTGTGGCGGGGGGCTGTGTTGCTGCAGGAACCCGGGCAGGGAAGGCGCCCACGCCGCGAAACGCGCCGCTGCCTCCTGCGCAAGGGACGCAGTCCCGTCTGTGGCAGGGGCTGCGGCGGCTGCAGCCGCGCAGCTCTCAAGGGGAGAGGAATCTCCAGCGTCTGGTTTTTTATCTCTAAACACCGAAGCCAAACCGCCCTGGGTCCCGGCCCAATGACCGCGGGCGTGCGAAGGCCGGCGTTGTTTAAGATCAGAAAAAAGCCGGGCAGTTCTCTCCCCTCGGGGGCACGTCGAGGAGAGCAAAGAAGAGGACCCTGCTCCCAGAAACCGGCCTTCACCCCGTCGCACTCATGGCCTCTCCCCTACAAACCCAGCGCTTATCGCCGCAGCCTTGACCCCCCCCCCCCCCCCCCCCGCGGCCCCCAGCGCCGGCCGCCGCGGGGGCTCCCGCCGGGGCCGCCTCGGGACCGGCGCGGCGGGAAGCTGCCCGGCGGGGAAAGCCGGGGGGGGGTGGTTGTTGTTGGTGTAAGGGGTGGCGGGAGGCGGGGGGGGGGTGGTTGTTGTTGGTGTAAGGGGTGGCGGGAGGCGGGGGGGGGGTGGTTGTTGTTGGTGTAAGGGGTGGCGGGAGGCGGGGGGGGGTGGTTGTTGTTGGTGTAAGGGGTGGCGGGAGGCGGGGAGGAGGAGGCCGGCGCTGGCTCCGGGCAGCGGGGGCGGCTCCCGCCGCGCCGCGGCCTTGATAAAGGGGCTGGGCGGGCGGCGGCGGGCGGCCATGGCGTGGGGCTGCGCTCTCTGGCTGGCGCTGGCTGGCGGCGGCCTCCTGGCCCTGCTGCTGCGCTGGCTGCGGGTCGACGGCGACCTCACGCTGCTGTGGGCAGAGTGGCGGGGGAAGAAGCCAGGTAAAACCGCCCGCCAGCAGCCGCCGACCGCGGGGGGGGTGGCGGCGGGAGGTCCGGGGGAGGGCGCGGGGGCGCCGGGGCTGGGTTTGGGGCGCTTCGTGAGGGGAAAGAGGATGGAGGCGTGTGGGGAGGAGAGGGGTCCCCAGGGACGCGGCTGAAGTCTCCTCAGCTCGGCGGAACCGCTCCCCGACAGCTGCCCCGCAGGTTCGTCCATAAAAACATCCCCCAAAGCGTAATTTTGGTGCCCTTGCGCAGCAAGGCGCCCCTCATGCCAATAAAGTGGCTAACAGCAGCTTCACAGCAGCGGCGAGCTCCAGCAGATCTGTGGCGGGGTTGGCTCGTTTGGCCCAAAAATGGTTGTTTTGCACAGTTTCTGGGCAGATCGCCGGTTCTGGCATCGGCATGCAGAATCACTGAGGCTGCCCAGTGAGTGCAAGGTTCAGGAACACTGTCAAAGGAGGGTGGGTGAGAAAGGAGGATGCTTGGCACATCTGGCCGGGATCAGTTGCTTTGTCATCTGTTTAGCATCTGTTTCAGTTTGTTCTGACATCTTCAAGCAGATCTCAGTTTCACAGGAATGCCGAAAGTGTTTACAGTGAAATAAACATGAATATTAGTGTTTCAATTAAATGGGTTTCCTCTTCCAAGAATTGTGCTGTGAAAGGCATAAAGGGACAGCACCATGTGGTTGCTGACTGCCTTTAAACGACTTTTCTGTAAGGTGCTGCTTTTGACACCTGTGGATACAAAAGTTCATTCAATGGCCATCAGACAAGGATTTTCAATTCTTGCTCATGTTGATCTTTTTATTCTGACTGTAACTCTGCCTGCTTCTGGACAAAGATCTTTTAAAATCGTAGGTTTAATTTGTTTAATAGAATCTTTCAATGAGAAAAGGCACAGATTTCTGAATATCCCCCCTCAGCTTAGCCAGACGTGGCGGTTTGAGGCTGCTGTGAGCCACTGGGTTTGGGTGGTTGAGGTGAAAACAGGGAGCTGGTGCTGACAGTGACCACGCAACAGCCTCTTCTGGCATCTGACCCGTTGGGGGAAGAAGCTGATCTGAAAGAAGATGGGACAAGGGACACTGTAAGCTGCCCCATGTGGGAAATGAAACTGGATGTTGGGTTGAGGTAGGCAGGTAGGACTGCATGTGGATTGGGAATGGGTGCGGGGGGGAGTGATGGAGTAAAGGTTTGGGCTTGAGACCATGATTCAGTAGGGTGTGGTGGTGCGGTTGAAGGTTGGTGTTAGGAAGGGCTTAAGAGAAGAATAGGACAAACTTGTTGAAATATCTCTGTCATCTGCTTTTGGTAGAAACTTATTGCAAAAGTGCTAGTCCGTATTGTGGAGAAGAGAACAGAAAAGCATGCACAAGTAATAAATCTCTCAGAAGTACTAAATTTAAATCTATGTGAGCAATCTTCTGTAACTGTTTAGATATTCAGCCCTAAGTTTTACAGTAACTTCATCAGGTAGTTTACTTGCTATAAGAAAACTACAAAAAGCTTTGCATGTGGATTTTGCAAAGACCACGGAAAGACTCAGGGTGGAGAAACAAGATAAATTTTGACTAATAGAAACAGAATTGAAGCTTTGTCCTAAGGGGTCTGTGTGCAATGCACATCAAGATGTCAGAGCTCTCTGGTAGACATAGCATTATTTGTATGTAGCCTTCAGTCTTTTTGGAAGCCTGGAAACTGCTTAACTAGTCTCTAGAAGTTCCCATATAAAAACCGATGTAGTCATTTTCTGATGTAGTTGTTTCAGTATGCAGTGTAAGAAGAATCAGGCAGAATTTTGTTAACATAAGCTCCTTTGCTCTGTAAAGAGGTGAGCTGTGTTTCTCCTTCCTCGCCCCCAAGCCTCAGTGCTTGTAATTATCTAAAATACGTAGCTGAAATGGTAGCGTTTAAGTGACATTTTGCTGATAGTTCAGCCATATACATGAGAGGTGTTGGTGTCACAGTGCTGATCCTAACTGTTCAGGTAGGAAAACAGAAGGGACAAGCACTAGAAAATGTTTTTCTTTAAGTATGTTCTCCCTTTTCTTCCTCCCCATATTGCTCACGTAATGTAGCGTGCCCAGGTAAGTATATGTGTGTATCCCAGGGAAAAAAAACCTTGATTTTTATTTAAGCTGTTATTAGAGCTGTCACTCTTGCAGTCATTATACTGTGTCATCATTTGTACAACATTATTATGGATGTCAAAGTTTTTGGAGATAAAAATACTTACCAGGAAGCAGACTGATCTCCTGTCTTTTGTGCTGTAACCTATAATTATGAAGGCAGGCCTTAATACAGGTAAGACCAGTTCCATTTCAATGACAAGGGAGAATTCACTTCTGAATTTTGTCATTGGCAGGTGCTATACTGCTTTCCATCTTCTAAATATTTGTGTGGCCATGATACAAGGGTTACTGGATGCTGGGTGACTTTCCTTATGTATTGCGTTTCATTAGCTGAACAGCAGTCACTCTAAACGGTGTGCTTTTCACAGGCAGGGTAATATTATCAAGCTAAGGAGGAGCCTACTCTTAAATCTGTGAATAAGGGTATGATTCTTCAGGGCTGTGGGGAAGATGCTCTGCTTTAAACCTCCCCACCCCAAATTTTTTTTCTTGAATTAAATAACATGGCAACTTTGTGCTATAAGAGCTATAAAATGTTGGAAAAAACCCTAAATAGAGCTACAAAAGCACTTCTTGGATTACTGTTGGATTACTTAGAATTGTACTATTGTAGTGCTATTCTGTTCAACCTCTCATTTGTTATGCCTTTTAACACAGTAGTTAATGCTTAGTAATAGTATAATCTGCTTTTGTTTTTTAATTTGTCATGGTTAATTTTTAAACTTATTTCCAGTAACAACAAGATGTTTATTCTAGAGCAAGCTGGTGCTTCGATACTTGTTCTACAACGGCATTTGAGCTAGGTTTTTCATTAAGTTAATTCCCAGTAGCTCAGTGTTTTGTAACTATCAGCACTAGGGAATCAGTGGAAACCTTCCCTTATCTCAGTTAATTATTCTGTCCACAGAACAAGATCTTGAATAACCGCAGTGAAGCTGCCCAAGACAGGTTGGGAACAGGGAAACTGTGTGGTAGGAGGAAGTGGATTTGTTTTCAGTAGCAAGAGGAGATGAGTGTGGTAAGCAGGGTTGAAAGTATGTCCATGTGCTGTTTTATTCATGTAGTATTTGTCTACACAAGTTTTCTGCCAAAAAAACACCCATAATAGGAGAGATGGACCCACATGTTTCTTGTGGTTAATTCAATGAATTGGTAATGTATTGGAATAA